TTCTGACTTTCTGGGAATGCCTACAATAAATTACAGAAAAAAAACATGTTTCCAGGCGAAGCTTTCTCTGTGTGCAGGCAGCTCTGGTTCCAGACTCTGCCATGACAATGAGAAAATTAAGTAACCCCGTCACTGTTTGCCATCTGCATGGGGAAGGCGGGAGAGCAGGGCCAGCGTGGTTTATGCAGAAACAGTGCGTTGTTCCTGGCAGCAGGCGACAGAAGGGCAGCCTTTGAAGCACAAAGAGACAATTAGAATAACAATGATTGTTATATTCAGAAAGCTAAACAAATGCCAACAGTGAAACTCTCATAAGAAGCAATAGAGACAGGGTTTGAAGGGCAACAGCCTGTCATCCCGAGAGGTGCGAGAGGTCATCCCTGGGGAAAAATGGAACCACGTGTCTGGGAAAGCTACAGGAAATTCACCCTCCATTAAACGAGTTGGTATTTTTCGCACACACAAAATTATGATGTTCTTGACCCCCCCAAATATTTCAAATGTATCTCCTGTAGTGCGCATAATAATGAGGTGGTTCACTGGGTATTCTATGATGTAGTTTCTACTTAATCTCTCCATCTCCAACACAGTCCACACCCACCACCAGTCTTCAGCCACACTGAAATTGAATGTTCTCCCCAGGACAATGGGGAGGTTTTGGCCTTCGGGCCTTTGTGTGTGCTGTGTCTCCCTGCCTGCGTCTTCCTCAGTCCCCTTTCCTCCTAGGCACCACTGCAGGTGTGCGGGTGTACTGGAGAGAAAGTGCTAGTCTCTCTGACTCACCTTGTTCTCACAGCCTTCGGGCTGCCGGCTCATGCCTGGTCCTGCACATGCGCACACTAATCAATACTGGGACTCTGCCCATGGCCTGAACGTTTCCAAGACAGCCCCCCCATCCCCCCTTCCCTTGACCTAAAAGACCTGAACTCTGTACTTCCTTCTGATGGATTTAAGGACTAGATCCACAATCTTCCCCACTGGTGCCTTCTCCGTCCATAAATCATCCTTTATTCCAAACTCTGACATTGTGAGTTCTGACTTTTGGAAGCCTCGGGCACACGGACCCTGGCCCAGTAACACCGGGAAGCGGACTGTGGCTGGAGAACTAAGCAGACAAACAAGCAAGCCCGAGGTTCGTTTCCAGGCACCGACCCTCCATCCCCGACCCCGGAGCTGAGGGCCAGAGCGCGCAGTGGGCTCCCTCCTCGTCTATTGCATCTTAGCTTTTTGTCATTTCCTTCAAAAAGTCTTTATATCCTCCCCTCCCAGATATTACGATACATACTGCCATCGCCCCGCATAATGAGTCGCTCCTAACACTTCCCGCCTGTGACGTTGCTGTGCGTTTGCATCACAACATCATAAGCTACCGAAGGGCAAAGACTTCGGAAGGAAGTCCAGTACCTGGCCCATAGTAGGTGCTCAGTAAATATTTGTTAAATAAAGTAGCAAATGCTTACAAGGACATACTTATAAAATAATTTTTGTGAAATAAGAAAAAATGTGTACACAGAAAATGGTTTACAAACAGTAAGTCAGTTCTGGGGTCATAAGGTTTGCAGGGTAAGAACAAACATCACGCGTACATTAGTCACATGGGACAGGAGGGGTGCATATTCAACGCCAGAGTCCGCCAGCTTGCAGAGTGTTTATACCCGTGCAAAGGTGCTCTTCCAAGTGCTGCTGCCATTGACTGGGTAATGCCTCACGCTCCCTTCCATCCAGACAACACAGGGTCTTTTTCATCAAATGTAAGGTGTGGCGTCAGACTCCCCACTTTAAGCAAGTGTTTAAAATGACACCTGCACTATTAGATTTGTCGTTGCTGTATTGACTGTTATTATTCAGAGGCATTGAAAGGATAGAGTTTACACTGAGCCTAAATTTCCTTAAGGAAACCCGCTATTGTAACACAGAGTTGTGGTACTGGTCAGTCTGTAGAGACGCTTAAACTCCACCCCTTCCCAGTGAAATCCAGAAATGACTCGGATGGGCCAGTGACTAAGAACCTGCAGGCCATTCAGAGACTCTGGGAGTGGCCAGCCTGCCAGTGGGCACGGCCGTCGGTGTCGACTGCCACAGCCATGTCACACATAAGGTCACCTCCTTGGCCAGTGTCTGTCTGTAGTGCTTCCACATTGTGGTTGGGCCAGAAGAGTTATTAAATATTGCAACACACCAGGCCCACATTGTGGCAGAATGGTGATAGTTATCATGCCATTGCCTCTGATCCAAAATGGACAAATTACAGTTCTCTGAATCTGATCAAGAGAAAGTAGGAGAATATATTTATCAACTTGGGAATATCAAGATATATATCTACATGTACCTGTGCAGTTACATCCCTGAAGGCTATGGCCCTTGGAAAGCAGGGGAGGTCATTAACTCCACTGGGAAGGGGCTGGCAAAGAAATTAGATAATTGTAGAATACAGAGCCCAGATGAGGAAACATTGCTGCTAGAAATCCCCAGAAAATTCACCATTAAGTGTTTAAAGACAATGAATAATAAAATGTCTGCTTGAGAAGATCTTATGATTAATTCCAAGGCCAAGAACCCTGACAGAGCAAGAAATCTGTAAGAAAAATAATAGCATTTCCAAGAAACCGGAGACTTAATTTGAGAACTACTGTTTGGTTTCCATTTCTGATACCCGGTGCATCTCTCTCGGGGTCACACAGGGATACTCAGGAGTGAAAATAAGACTGAGCTCAAGAATGAGTCACAATGATCTTCAAAGTAATAAAGCAGCCAAAGGAATAAAACCTAGTGTATTACAAAAATGTATATATTCTACCAAATATATAATATAGGTAAGAATATAATCTATAAATAGTAATATAAATACTTATAAATAAATCTATATCTTTTAAGAAAATGGAGTCTGCATACAGATGTTTAGATCATACATAAGACAACCTAAAATAAGGTAACCGGTTAAAATCTCACGAAGCTGGGACTATTTCTTAAGGAATCTCTGAATCCCTTGCATAGTGAGAGTATTATGGTCATATATACATATCACAGACATCATTCTTATCAATAGAGAAACATACTATTTAAGCATTTCCTAAGTATTTACTCATTTTCTTTTCACAAAAGCCCAATGAGGTAGGTGCAACAATTATCCACATTTTACCAATTAGGAAACAGAGGCACAGAGTAGTTGAATAGCACGCCAAGGTTACATCAGCGGTAAATTGTAAAGTTGACGCTTCAAACCAGGTGGACCGACCCAGGAAACTAGAGCTCTGGGCCCCACAGGCTGGGAATCGTCCCCTCACGAACCTACACACTCGTGAGCATGTGCTGTATGAATGAATTTCTGCAACGTTTGCTGGAGACGTATCTCTCTGCAGGCTGACTCGGGGGTCTGCCACGGGCAGTGGTTGCACTAGGGCTGGCTGGGAGCATGACCCCTTCCTTTCTCTTCAGTTCTGCAAACCAGCCTGGAAGGCGGAAAGGCATATCGATGCCGTATAAACGCAGGTTTGAATCAGGAATCGAGCATACCTTGCCAAGCCAGCTCCCAACCCGTAGTGTCTTCTGTTCTGAGATTTGGGAGGAGCCACTGTCGCTGGGTTATGTAATGCAAGAGCGGTACCGTTTTTGCACTCCCAGAGTGTTGGACACGCCTCGGTCACGTGCCCACGGAGCCATCCGGTCAGCACGGCTCGCACACACGGGAGGGCCAGGCCCACTGCGGGGCATTGAGGAGATCAGGATGAAAGTGCGGTTCTTTGCCGAGTCCTCCTGGCACTGCGTAAATGTTTGATGAATGCTGAATAAGTGGATCTATCGAGGGCACCAAGTGTGAAAGTTGCCGTGGGTGGGGAAACCACTCTCCCTCTCTCTCCGAGGCTTTTTCTCTTCATGTGCAAAGTGAGAGGACAGGAGAAAGAATTATAATATACCCCTTTCACGAGTTTGTATTTTGATCCCGTGGTGACCGGTAAAGTACTAACAAGTATGAAGCATTGGAGGTGTCAGGCTGGGTGATACAGGATTAAGATTATTTTTGACAGGGGTCTGCACCGTGGATCGGAGAGGGAGGGGGAGTCAGAGACTCAAAGAGGGAAACAGGCGCAGCTGCGTCCGTGTCTGTGGACGCCACACGCTGTGGAGAGAGCAGCCGAGGGAGCCGTCGAGTCCACGCACGTGGTGTCCAGCCCCTAAGAGGAAAATACCGATTCGACCCAGTTCAACGTGTCTGACCGTCGGTAAGGAGAATCGTAAGGTGTGTCTGCAAACAACTTTGTCATCTGCAGCCCTGCTGTGGCACTGTGTAAACAATTCTGTTTTATTATTTACGGCTGCATGTACTTGTCCCGACTGCCATGGTAGATGGCCGGCTTTTTAAGTTCAGAAGCAAGATCTTAAAACAGAAAGGAGGTCCAGACCATGAAGCAGGTGGTGCAGAGAGTAAAATGGAGGAATAAAATTCTAATTTATACACATCATTGTATATTTCACATTAAAGTGCTATTACATTTTAAAATTTCCACTAAACTCCAACTTTGCGGTAGGAGATGAACTTTGTGGTAAGGAGATGAACTAGGATATAAATTTGTGTGTCTGAAAGCACTATATAACAGATTAGTTAAATGAATGTTTGTCTTCTGAATTTGTCCTCGATTGCTCTCTCGTTATTTGGCTTGAATTTAGAGAGAGAGAGAGAAAATAAAAAATATATGGGAACAATCAAGAGAACAGGACCTCGATAAATGAAAATGTTTCCCCTGCATAAATTGTGACTGCGCTAGAAATTTTATGAAGCAAGTGAAATGGGTATAAGATCATTTGAAACACGGCCATTATGTAACCTGGGAAAGGATCCAAGTAACTTGCAGATTTTGCTAAGGAAACTCACACTGTTATGTGAGTGCTAACGTCCAGTCCCCAATGAACACGACCAGTCCCCTATGGCTTTGAAATTCAGAACAACACCCAGTTAGCCTCGTAACAGACTCCACGGTCAGCCTCAAAACTCCAGCTCCAGCGCTGCCTTCGGCAGCACATACACTAAAATCGGGATGGCACAGAGTAATATTAGCATGTCCCCTGCACAAGGAGGACGCACAAACACGTGGGGCCTTCCCTGGTTTTAGTGACAGGTAAAGAGACTTCACATCTGAGATCAACAAAGCAAGTCTACTCATGGCAGCAGGGCCCAAAGTCAGCTACTTCAGAACCCTGACCTGCAGCCTGGCCTGTGGCTCGGTTGTTTGGAGCATTGTCTTACACATGGAAAGGCTGCAGGTTTGATCCCCGGCCAGGGCACATGCCTTGATTGCGGGTTCAGTCCCCGCTGGGGTGCATGCGAGAGGCCATCTACCGATGTATCTCTCTCTCTTCCTCTCTCTCTAAATCAATACACATATCCTTGGGTGAGGGTTAAAAAAGAAAAACAAATCTTGATCTTTTCCATTGGACCGAAGACTGCTTTGCTTCACTGTTGTCTGTAGAAATAGATCTGTATTTGCATTATAAGAAAGTCCACGCTCAAAAGAGTCTAGTTTAGTGGGACAGCGATAAAGGGTTAAAAGGTTCTGAGTGGGACATACAGACGTGAAAGAGGGAGACAAAGGGTCAGCTGGTGGTGGGTGTTCTGAGTCGCCACAGCCCCTTTGATGGCGCCTCCCCACGGGGCAGTGCTCAGGGACCGCATCTTCGGGTTCCCAGCAGGTGCGTTCTGTCTGTGCCCTGGACTCCTCCGACCCGACGCTCTTCCGTGAGTCCCAGAAGCAGAAACGGGGACTGTAAGGCTCTGGCATTAAAGATGGTGTGCACAAGCACTGGAGTGTTAGATCTCCGTCCGCTGTGACTGTCGTCAGCTTTGTAAAGGATGTGGCACGTGTGTGTGTGGCAGCTGCCATATTCGGGGACAGAAGGAAGCTCTTTGACTCAGCCCGCAGCAGAAGCCCCCTGCGCCCCACCCCCCACTCCCCAATCTTGAGGAGGCAGACGTCTCAGCTCTCCTACTGGGCCTTGTGAATGGAACTCCGGAGTAATTTCTGGAAAGTCAGCCCAGGAGGCCTCTTGCTGTCCTCCAGCTGATTTTTCAGGAAACGAATTCCCCATGTTTACACATTCTTCATTGAGACGGATGGAGCAGTCCCCGTTCCCCGCCGCCGGTTTCCAGCAGGTCTGTCAATGGCCCCGACGCATGCTGTGGGGCAGCTGTTCCGTGCCGTCTCATTTCTCAGTGTTCCTGTCCGCCCTCACTTTGCTCTTCCGATCGGGTTTTCCGGAGTGGACGGAGAAATAGAGCTGGGATATAGAGGTGCAGCCTAGCACCAGCCTCCCAGTCGCAGTAAAACACCTTAGAATTGCGGTGTGCTCACATTCGATTCTACATGTCGCAGAAACAGCTGTGCGGTACCCGGTCCGGCCGAAGGCACGCCTGCCTCGGTGTGGCCGGCAGGGTCATGATAGGGGTGTAATAATGTATAGTTTCAATTTGAACATTTCCCCGAAAATGTCACGCGGCGTGCTTGAGTGTGATCGTGTTATGTTGCAGAACGACATGCTGGTGATTACGTAATAAAATATTTTGCAATAAAACGGGGGCGGTATGTGTGCCGGACCCCACGTTGACACGTATCACTCACCCTTCCCTTTAGACACCTTCGTGAGGAGTCATTAGTTCAGCCACTGGGCGAGGTCCTTCACTTAAAACTAGAAGAAACCAAACTTATTTTACAGGCATTCCGCCGATGGATTTCAGGGCTTGTTCAAACAAGGAGGAGGCACACTTCCAGAGAATTCCCTGTGTGAAACGTTAATAGCTGAACAGGCAGCACCAAGCTAGAAAACAAGGTAGCTTGCAAAAAGCAAAACGAAATCAAACAAAGGGCAGCACATGTCTTCATGAGGAGCTGAACCAGCCTAACATCATTCAGTTTATACGTAAGTCAGCCACTGCATGAGGACGACAGGGAAAAGCTCGTGATCGTGGACCAAAAATACAAGTCTATAGGCACCACCGTAACTAGGTTCTGAAATATTTGACATTTTAATGAAGGGCATTGCGTCAGAAGCACAGAGACTGAGTACCGCATTACTGCACCGACGTGATCAGGAGCGCTCCCGGAAAGCCGCTTACCTGTGTCCACGGGCCCCTGTCGCGCTCTGCAGCTGCCCACGGTCACACGGACTGGCTCTGGTTCATGAGACGCAGCTGCATCCTTCCCTCTGGCAACGTGCCTTTTAAGAAACCGACTAGTTACTGACCCATCCTGCCAACCAAAGCCCTGATCTGTTGCCCTATACATTTTCCTGAACTGTAAGGAATACACAAACTATTAAGGAGTGATTACATACAGTCAGAATTTTAAAAACAAGAAATCAAGCAGAGTGAAGACCAAAGAGATTATTACACTGCCTTTCTCAATGTGTTCATCATTGTAAAAAGAAAAAGGTAATGTAGAATCTTGAAACCACTTCAGGATAACATGGCAGAGGAAAGAGGAGGAGCAGTTGTGGACAGCCATCCTCGAAGGAAAGTCGATCATGACTCAGCCAAGTTTAAACCTTGGAAAGGGATAAATCACCCGTGCAGAGTGCCCACCTTCGTCGGAGCTGGGAATAATGTGTGGAGTTTTAACTGGACGCAAGCGCGTGTCACCGGGAGGAAGGCGTTCAGCCGGCACCGTTAGGGAGGCCGCGTAGGACGCGTTCTCTGGGAAAGGGTTTCACCGATGCGGCGAGCTCAGCGAACCCCGTCCAGAGGAAGCAGTGGCCGGCCTTCAGGGAGAGCCGAGAAACTGCGGGTGCCAAGCGGGCTCCGCACAAAGTTGAGCAAATTACTTTATGGATTGCCGAACTTCATGGGTGACTTTGCTTCGCCCATTTGTGGCTGCTACTGCCATTTTGCAACAATAGAGTTTGACAAGCAGTATAATTTTTAGAGCTATTGCAGACATAGGGGGTCCAGGTTGGGAGGGGGTGGGGAGGCCTTCAAAGTTTATTATTTATTTAATAACACGTTTATTTAAGTTTATTTATTTATTTTTAGAGTGGGAAGGGAGGGAGATAGAGAGAGAGAGAGAAACATCCATGTGCGGTTGCTGGGGGTTATAGCCTGCAACCCAGGCATGTACCCTGGCTGGGAATTGAACCTGCGACACTTTGGTTCACAGCCTGCGCTCAATCCACTGAGCTACGCCAGTCAGGGCTTATTTAAGTTTATTTTTAATTATAATTGTGTAGCATATGATATTAGTTTCCAGGGTACAACACCTCAGTGCTTCAGTGTTTACGTGACTTACAAAGGGACCCCGCACAAGTCTCTACCCACTGCCTCCACCCACGTTTGTTACCTGCGCTGAGCTGTACATCACACCCCCATAAGTTATTGTATAACAAGGAGTTTCTATCGGTCGAATCTGCCACCTGGAGCCCGTTCCCCCTCTCCCCACCTCACTCCCCGCTTTGACCAAAGCGTGTGTGTATTAGACAGGTGGTTGGCCGAGTTTGGCGGTGCGGTTTTCAGAGAGGTTTCTTGATTTATTTGTGTGTCAAAAGGTCAGGTCCATAACATAAAGTAAACGAAGCTGAAGACATAGTTACGATCCAGGTGGTGTTGAATATCGATCCTGCCCGAAGGTCTCTGGAGAGCTGATTTAGCTCCTAGTTTATGTTGTTCTGGAGTAGCCTTACCCAAATCACGGCGCGGAGAACACCAGGTTGTAACCAGAGCTCCAAACTCAGGGAGGCCGTGGCGATGCTTGCTTGGGAGACTCTCACGCTTATTTGCATGGAGACCTCTCCAAGCCTTTAAAATATTACTATCATTGTGGTTTCCCTGCAAGGGAAATCCGTAGGCAACATTGCCAACCCTCCTTGAACAGTGAAGATTTAAAATTTTATTTCACGTTATTTTGGAAACAGCTAATCATATCCCTAGGAACTAGCACTTCACAGACTTCCAGTGGGTTCTAAACCCCAGGTTTATGCCAACACAGCCAAAAATTAGAGCCTCCCTACACTGCCCTTCAGCGTATGCTGAGGGCACAGGCTGTGCTTCCACATTCCAGTTATTAGTTTCATCATTTTATTACAAATAACGTGAGCATCGACAGGCTGCATGTTCAGTGACCTGTCCCCCACCTGCGAGGACTGATGTTTGGCAGAAAGGACAGGGAAGCGTGGGTGGGGACAGCCTGGTAGAGATTTAAGTGAGGGGCCCGTTCTCACTCCTCCGGAGAGAGAGAGAGAAATTAGAAGCAACCGAGTCTGAGTCCGCACGTTATGCCCACGTTCAGGAGGGGAAGCTCAGACGTCGGTGCCCTCTGTGAAGGCCTCCGAGTCCCTGCAGCTCCGAGCCGCAGGCTTCTGCCCCCCCGGGGCTGTGGGCTCCCCACACACCCACCCCTGCCGGGCAGGCGGCCGTTCTGCCAGTCCCGCGGGGCCGCCCCTCTCCACCGGCTTCCATCCCCCCTCCTGGCCTCTGGGCGCAGGGAAGCACGATGGTTTTTGGAGTGTTTTTGTTCTTTTTTTTTTCTGCAGTTCACTGATTTCCTCTAAAATAAGTGTGCAGATTTTTAAAAAAATCTTAATGAGGGCTGGGGGCTGTCCTTTCTGTAATCTCAGGTTTATTTGTACAAGTTAGTTCGAGGTAAACTGGCATTTTCTCTAAGTTTTAATAGCAGCTATACACAGGGCTGGTATATCAGGTAACGAATGCGTAGGGAGAGGAAATTCTTTTGGTTTATTTGGGCTTACCATCTGCATACAGATGCCAGAATCCTTCCTATCTTTTCTATCTACCTTTGAAAATAAATGGCCACAAATGGCAGTTTGTGAATGACGTTGTCCTTCACTGAAGCTACATAACTCAGATTCCGAATAAACATTTCGCTGTTAATTGGCTTGGATTTACAATATTTTGATTGAGGGTTCCATGGCAATTCTAACTGAAAACAAAAAAAAATATGGTAGGTCAGGCATTATTTTAAATAACAATAACTTTCAGTACATTTTGATGTCAAATTTAGAAGCAGTAAACTTTAATCGGGGTTTTGTCTTTTTCCCCCCATTTACTACAACACTTTACTATATTTTTCACGGTTATATTGAGTAACCCCTCAAAGGTGTGAATCTTC